ATCCATCTTCACCCATGGAGGGCTCCGTGACGTGAGCTCTGCAGGGCGGGGGAAGGCTTATAAAACCTTGCCCCGCCCTGCAATTAGGCTAAGAACACTCTGATTGGCTGGTTTAAGCCAATCAGAGTGTTCTTTGTCATTTTACACAGCGTGGGAAAATTCCAAAGAACTTTCCCATGCTGTGTAAAATTACTCTGATTGGGTGGCTTGAAATCCATCCAATCAGAGTGCTTTGTGTCATTTTACACAGCGCAGGGATGGGGACCGATGGGCAGGACAATAGGTCTCCCCCCTTATTGTTATTTAGGGGCCGCCGTGCAGGGGTGGGGGCCAGATAGTAGGCTTTTTACAGTGAGCAGCTACAGGCTGCTCACTGTTTAGTGGACATGCCTCTACTCGCGAGTAGGGGCATTCGGGAGACTTTAATCTCCCTTATGCTATTATGGGGGTCATATTGACCCCCACAAAGTGAGGGAGGACATGGGGGGCTTAGGAAGTGGCAGGGAGCACTGTTCCCTTCCGCTTCTATCTTTACATATTACAAGGAGGGAGCTGCTCGCCGGTAGCTCCCTCCTTGTAATAAACTGAACGAACAAACGAACACTGATACAGTGTTTGTTTGTTCGTCTGATATTTCTATTCATTCGGCTTTCTGACGAATGAATGAATAGATGAAATTCCTGTTCACATGTCCAAGTGTTTAACTGGGCATGTGCGGGAATATCACAGCGCTATCTAGAGTGGGCAGATGATGTGTCCCACGGGGACTTCCACTACCCACACAAAGATGGCGGCGCCCTGAATATAGATCAGGGCAGAAAATAAAGAATAAAAATAGGTAATATGGGGGGCTTAGGGGCATTTGGGGGTGACTAGGGGGTCAGTTAGATGTAGTGGAGTCGGAAGGGGGGTTAAAAAAAAACGGGATTCGGCCATGACAGTGCCGCTTTAATTACATCTCACACTACCAGGCTGGTTTGAGGAAATTCCATTAGAGATCAATTGGACTTGATTCATTATTATATTCTTGCTTGTTTATTATTATCATATATATCACGCCAACATATTCCACAGAGCTATAGAATTAGGGGAAGGAGGTTCATTTACAAACGTGAGAATTCAAAGTGAAATCCAAGTGAAATTCAAATTTAGGGCCAGAATAGTCAAATTAATAACGCAGCTAAATTTTCCAGTTTAGCTATTTTGATGTTAAATTTTAAATTCACTTTGAATTCTCACTTTAGTGAAATAACACTGTATGAGAATGTTTATTTGAATCTGTTATTTAGAGTTCCAACAGTAGCCAGCAGTCATATATTGGTATTTGATTTCAGTTTGTCCAAAATAAAACAAGCAACCTAAAATCTGTCTGGGAATTACCAAATTTAGGGTAAATTCAAGCTCATTTTGGTGTCTGATAAATAGACAGATGCCTACACTTTTACAATTTTGGAGCAAATGATTGATTAGAGATCTATTTCCTCCAAATTGTGTCTGTTCCTTTACTAAATACCTGCATGGTATTTTTGGGTCAGATTCAAGAATTTTAATAGTATTTTTCATTTTGGTGGCACAATCGGACTGTAGTGAATGACCAATTTTAGTATAGTCCACAGATCAGTCAGCCCACAGCTTAGTCGTAGACAATTCATTTACCAGACCACACACCAAGACATTTGCTTTACAGCAGAAGACACCATTCTTTGTGTGTTATTGACCTGTCTTGTGGACAAAGCCATTATAGGAAAATTATGACCTGATTACAAGCTACTTTCGTTAAACTGAGCATGATAATTGACCAACTGTGACAATATCCTGGGATAGAATTTAAAAGTTACTTTGAGTGCAGAACGTGTTACGGCTAAAGTTCCAGAGCTGGTGCAAACTCTGAGGAAATGATGTTGGTTACCATGGTGACTACACAGAAGTAGCCTTTATGAATAACCCTCAAAGTATATTTGCTTCAGATATCGGTTGTGTTCTCCAACGCATGTGAACTATAATGCTAGTGGAATGGTAAGATTGTGTGTGCTGTTCCTTTAATATGTATTTATTTTCCATAAATGTTCTCTACAGTAACACTATTAAGAAATTCACCCATTAATTTTTCTATGTATTTTTGGAGTCCTGTCCAGTTTGCTTTAGTTGAGCACCTTCTCACCACAAAAAAGCAGACATTTGAGGAGAGCCTCTGAATGCAATAAATGCAGTACATGTTGCAGTTAGATTATTTAATGTCCATGATTAAGGGTTTCATAACTATAACTACTGCAGCCCTTTATAATGGTTCTGATGCCAAGAGTACCCTGACAATGGGAAGTTCCCTGGTAATGGGAAAAACCATTTAGGAGCAGTTTGACCTTTTAACTTGGTCCCTGCGGGGATCCGAGGCTCCTTTGGGCAGTGGTAACATGCTGCCGTCTTCTAAAGAGCTGCAGTAGCAAGTCCAGTCTCAATTTATTAGCATAGAGTGTCTGCTGATCTCACTCAGCCAATGAATGGCACGCTGCATGTAAATTTGCACAGAACTGATATTATCCAGCCAAGAACTCTTGTTCCCAGGCTGACTGATGACACCCCATGATCCTGCTGAAGGTGGAGTTAAACCTCTATCAGCCAAAGAGTTAAACTTGGTATGTGCAGCGTTTCATAGCAAAACACTGCAAACACAGACTTCAGGCACCATGACCACTTCAAAACACAGAACTAATGATGGTGCTTAGTTTAATCCACTTAGTTTAATCCACTAGAGCGTAAGACCTATGGATATTGGGAACCTTTGATGGTAGTGGCGTGCAGTAGTGGTACACGTGCTATAGTCATATGATGTGACTAAATTCCCTTATTTGTTTGATTTAGACAGGTGATTTTAAATAACCTTATATGATTTGAATCTATATATTTCATATTTATGTGTGTGCATAGTTCCCTTAACCCCTTAAGGACACATGACGGAAATATTCCGTCATGATTCCCTTTTATTCCAGAAGTTGTGTCCTTAAGGGCATAGGCGTGCGCACGGGGTGTGCCGGGTGTGTCTGGGCACACCCTAATCCCCGTGTGCACCCCTATGGTTTGAGTCCTGCAGGAACAGCGTTCCTGCACTCTTTTGAGCAGGAACGCTGTTCCTGCAGGCACTCAGTGCCCCCTGTTTCACCTCTTGCCCCTGTCATGGGAGGGCAAGAGGTGATGATTCCCCCACCTTGCAGGTCAGCGCGCGGCGAGGGAGCTCTCTGCTCTCTGCTTCCTCTCGCCGCGCGCTGATGCCGGGAGCCGGAATATGACGTCATATTCCGGCTCCCAGCTCCAGCAGACAGCCCGCGCGGCGAGAGGGAGCAGACAGCAGAGAGCTCCCTCGCCGCGGCTGACCTGCAGAGACGCGCCCGCCCCCACTGGACCCCAGGGACAAGTCCACCAGCACTCCAGGTAGGATGCTGGGTGGACATTTAAAAAAAAAATTAAAATATAATAATTTGTGTGTGTGTCTGTGAGTGTGTGAGTATGTGTCAGTGTGTGTCTGTCAGTGTGTGTCTGTGAGTGTGTGTGTGTGTGTGTGTGTGTGTCAGTGTGTGTGTGTGTCTGTGAGTGTGTGTGTCTGTGAGTGTGTCAGTGTGTGTCTGTGAGTGTGTGAGCGCGTGTCTGTGAGTGTGTGTCAGTGTGTCTGTAAGCGTGTGAAAGCGTGTTCGTGAGCGTGTGTCAAAGTGAGTGTGAGTATGTGTCAGTGTGAGTGTGCGTGCGTGTGTGTATCAGTGCGTCTGTGAGTGTGTGAGTATGTGTTCGTGAGTGCGGTAAAATGCGAGTGTGAGTATGTGTTCCAGAGTCTGTGAGTGTGTGTCAGTGTGTGTCTGTGTGAGTGTGTGAGTATGTGTCTGCAGTCTGCAGTGTACGTGTGTTCGTGAGTGTGTGAGTATGTGTTCAGGAGGCAGGTATGTCAGTGAGTGTGGTGAGTATGTGTCGCGTGTGTAAGTCAGTGAGTGTGTGTGTTTCTGTGAGTGTGTGTGTCTGTGAATATATATATACGTATATATATATATATGTATATATATGTGTGTATATATATATATATATATATATACACACACACACACACACGCGCGCGGCGTGTGTTTGTGCTTTAGGGTGCACACCCTAATGCAATAGGCTGCGCACGCCTATGCTTAAGGGGTTAATGGATATCTCTGTTTAATAATCATTTCCTCAGTAATGATTGTGCGTAATCTATGAATCCACAGATTAATTGGGTTTAATGGTTTGAACAGTGCATTAGATTAATAACTCCCTATTCAGACTGACAAACATCTCTTACATTCTTTACTAGCGGATGAAGACCATCACAACTTTCCAATGAAGAATCCACAACTGGAAAATAGATGTCCAAACAGAGAGATGGAGAAATGTATACCGAATGTATTTCTCTCAAAATTAAAACTAGTTTTAAAAAAATCTGCACATATATGAAACTGTAAAAATGTAAGAGAATGCGCTTCCAAGACGCTTAACCTCAAACACTAACCCAACACTCTTACCTCCAAACACTAACCCGACACGCTTAACTCCAAACACTAACCCGACACGCTTAACTCCAAACAATAACCGGACACGCTTAACTCCAAACACTAACCGGACAAGCTTAACTCCAAACACTAACCGGACACGCTTAACTCCAAACACTAACCGGACACGCTTAACTCCAAACACTAACCCAACACTCTTAACTCCAAACACTAACCCGACACGCTTAACTCCAAACACTAACCGGACACGCTTAACTCCAAACACTAACCGGACACTCTTAACTCCAAACACTAACCCGACACGCTTAACTCCAAACACTAACCCGACACGCTTAACTCCAAACACTAACCGGACACGCTTAACTCCAAACACTAACCCGACACGCTTAGCTCCAAACACTAACCGACACGCTTAACTCTAAGCACTAACCGACACGCTAAACTCCAAACACTAACCGGACACGCTTAACTCCAAACAATAACCAGACACGCTTAACTCCAAACACTAACCGGACACGCTTAACTCCAAACAATAACCAGACACGCTTAACTCCGAACACTAACCGGACACGCTTAACTCCAAACACTAACCTGACACGCTTAACTCCAAATGCTAAACCGACACGCTTAGCTCCAAACACTAACCGGACACGCTTAACTCCAAACACTAACCTGACACGCTTAACTCCAAACAATAACCGGACACGCTTAACTCCAAACACTAACCCGACACGCTTAACTCCAAACAATAACCAGACACGCTTAACTCCAAACACTAACCGGACACGCTTAACTCCAAACACTAACCGGACACGCTTAACTCCAAACAATAACCAGACACGCTTAACTCCAAACACTAACCGGACACGCTTAACTCCAAACACTAACCGGACACGCTTAACTCCAAAAACTAACCCAACACTCTTAACTCCAAACACTAACCCGACACGCTTAACTCCAAACACTAACCGGACACGCTTAACTCCAAACACTAACCCGACACGCTTAACTCCAAACACTAACCCGACACGCTTAACTCCAAACAATAACCAGACACGCTTAACTCCAAACACTAACCGGACACGCTTAACTCCAAACAATAACCAGACACGCTTAACTCCGAACACTAACCGGACACGCTTAACTCCAAACACTAACCTGACACGCTTAACTCCAAATGCTAAACCGACACGCTTAGCTCCAAACACTAACCGGACACGCTTAACTCCAAACACTAACCCCGACACACTTGCCCAAACACTAACCCGACACGCTTAACTCCAAACACTAACCCGACACGCTAAACTCCAAACACTAACCCGACACGCTTAACTCCAAACAATAACCCGACACGCTTAACTCCAAACACTTAACTCCAAACAATAACCCGACACGCTTAACTCTAAACACTAACCCGACACACTTAGCTCCAAACACTAACCTGACACGCTTAACTCCAAACACTAACCCGACACGCTAAACTCCAAACACTAACCCGACACGCTTAACTCCAAACAATAACCCGACACGCTTAACTCCAAACACTAACCCGACACGCTTAACTCCAAACACTAACCTGCACGCTTAACTCCAAACAATAACCCGACACGCTTAACTCCAAACAATAACCCAACACGCTTAACTCCAAACAATAACCCGACACGCTTAACTCCAAACACTAACCTGACACGCTTAACTCCAAACAATAACCCGACACGCTTAACTCAAAGCACTAACCCAACACGCCTAACTCCAAACACTAACCCAACACGCTTAACTCCAAACACTAACCCGACACGCTTAACTCCAAACAATAACCCGACACGCTTAACTCTAAACACTAACCCGACACACTTAGCTCCAAACACTAACCTGACACGCTTAACTCTAAGCACTAACCCGACACGCTAAACTCCAAACACTAACCCGACACGCTTAACTCCAAACAATAACCCGACACGCTTAACTCCAAACACTAACCCGACACGCTTAACTCCAAACACTAACCTGACACGCTTAACTCCAAACAATAACCCGACACGCTTAACTCCAAACAATAACCCAACACGCTTAACTCCAAACAATAACCCGACACGCTTAACTCCAAACACTAACCCAACACGCTTAACTCCAAACAATAACCCGACACGCTTAACTCCAAACACTAACCTGACACGCTTAACTCCAAACACTAACCTAACCCACGCTTAACTCCAAACAGTAACTTTAACTCCAAACACTAACCCGACACGCTTAACTCCAAACACTAACCCGACACGCTTAACTCCAAACACTAACCCGACACGCTTAACTCCAAACACTAACCCGACACGCTTAACTCCAAACACTAACCCGACACGCTTAACTCCAAACACTAACCTAACACGCTTAACTCCAAACAGTAACCCGACATGCTTAACTCCAAACACTAACCCGACACGCTTAACTCCAAACACTAACCTAACACGCTTAACTCCAAACAATAACCCGACACGCTTAACTCCAAACAATAACCCAACACGCTTAACTCCAAACAATAACCCGACACGCTTAACTCCAAACACTAACCCAACACGCTTAACTCCAAACAATAACCCGACACGCTTAACTCCAAACACTAACCTGACACGCTTAACTCCAAACACTAACCCGACACGCTTAACGACACGCTTAACTCAAGCACTAACCCGCACTAACCCGACACGCTTAACTCCAAACAATAACCCGACACGCTTAACTCCAAACACTAACCCGACACGCTTAACTCCAAACACTAACCTGACACGCTTAACTCCAAACAATAACCCGACACGCTTAACTCCAAACAATAACCCAACACGCTTAACTCCAAACAATAACCCGACACGCTTAACTCCAAACACTAACCCAACACGCTTAACTCCAAACAATAACCCGACACGCTTAACTCCAAACACTAACCTGACACGCTTAACTCCAAACAATAACCCGACACGCTTAACTCAAAGCACGCTTAACTCCAAACACGCCTAACTCCAAACACTAACCCACACGCTTAACTCCAAACACTAACCCGACACGCTTAACTCCAAACAATAACCCGACACGCTTAACTCCAAACACTAACCTAACCTGACACGCTTAACTCTAAGCACTAACCCGACACGCTAAACTCCAAACACTAACCCGACACGCTTAACTCCAAACAATAACCCACGCTTAACTCCAACACTAACCGGACACGCTTAACTCCAAACACTAACCCGACACGCTTAGCTCCAAACACTAACCGGACACGCTTAACTCCAAACACTAACCTGACACGCTTAACTCCAAACAATAACCGGACACGCTTAACTCCAAACACTAACCCGACACGCTTAACTCCAAACAATAACCAGACACGCTTAACTCCAAACACTAACCGGACACGCTTAACTCCAAACACTAACCGGACACGCTTAACTCCAAACAATAACCAGACACGCTTAACTCCAAACACTAACCGGACACGCTTAACTCCAAACACTAACCGGACACGCTTAACTCCAAAAACTAACCCAACACTCTTAACTCCAAACACTAACCCGACACGCTTAACTCCAAACACTAACCGGACACGCTTAACTCCAAACACTAACCCGACACGCTTAACTCCAAACACTAACCCGACACGGTTAACTCCAAACACTAACCTAACACGCTTAACTCCAAACAGTAACCCGACATGCTTAACTCCAAACACTAACCCGACACGCTTAACTCCAAACACTAACCTAACACGCTTAACTCCAAACACTAACCCGACACGCTTAACTCCAAACACTAACCGACACGCTTAACTCCAAACACTAACCCGACACGCTTAACTCCAAACACTAACCTAACACGCTTAACTCCAAACAGTAACCCGACATGCTTAACTCCAAACACTAACCCGGACACGCTTAACTCCAAACACTAACCGCTTAACTCCAAACAATAACCCGACACGCTTAACTCCAAACAATAACCTGACACGCTTAACTCCAAACAATAACCGACACGCTTAACTCCAAACACTAACCCGACACGCTTAACTCCAAACAATAACCGACACGCTTAACTCCAAACACTAACCTGACACGCTTAACTCCAAACAATAACCCGACACGCTTAACTCAAACACTAACCAACACGCTAACTCCAAACACTAACCGGACACGCTTAACTCCAAACACTAACCGGACACGCTTAGCTCCAAACACTAACCTGACACGCTTAACTCCAAATGCTAAACCGACAGGCTTAGCTCCAAACACTTACATGCTGATATATTCAGTGTTGCAAGCTAACATACTGCAATCATGCGCATTGAATTAACATTAAAAATAAAAAATATCAAAATGGATATTTCATATCCTGGTCTTTTATCATTATTAGAAGTTAAATTATCCCAGGTTTAGCATTTTCATGATATTTTTAGACTCATTGTTTCTGTGATGGGCTTCTTTCCATATCAACATGGACTGCCAGCACAAATACATATGTCACCCTTAAAAAAGTCATTTCACCCCACTGCCAATCAAACAGAAACATGTCATTGTCCTATATTAATTTTGCAAAACACCACTCTAACCTACAGCACTTGCAGGGTTAACCAACATGGCCGATTAGAGGCTGCAGGTGCATTGAGGCTAGTTAGGGACTCTGCACAGCATTACGGCCCTTCCTGTAAATTGTACAGTTGAAGACATCCATTGACTTTGGCCAGTTATCATGGTTTCTCCTGTATTTATATTTCCTCACAAGTAACTAAACAGAATAGAAATCTGATAATTGTGTCCATTTCTACGGATCATTGTCCCTGGTGATACATGTTCACAGCTTGCGATTACGTAGGTTTGCGCTGTGAGTTGCGTAGCTGACAACCATTAACTATTTTCTTGTCAATTCATTCTCGATCAGCAGTAATTACAAACTGAATATATATATATATATAATCAGATGAAGCCTGTTCTGCTGTAGAGGTTTGGCAAGCAGTACAATTTCCTACTACCGAGGGGAACAATCTGCTTTTCATCAGTCAAATGTCCTGCGCACCCCATGTTTGCAGGGATAAAATGTTTTCTTACTTCTATGAACAAATGTTCCCATTCTGACGTCTTCCCTCCCAGAGGCTGCCTATAGAGATCAGTAAATGTGCCATCTATTTACAGCCTTGCGTGACGGCTATTAAACTGTTTATGTATGTTAACATCAGAATTGTCACTAAAATCCATCACAGTAGCTCACTAGGAGATAATATGTTGTTGCGTTAGTGGTCACAGCTACTGATTAACTGTTAACAGTTCTCAGGTGTGTAACAAGACGAGTTAAACATTCCAAATCCGCTCTATAATCATACAATGTCAGGTTCTAAAGCCGCACACCTGGGGGGAGGGATAATCACATTTTCTGAGAGTGGAGAATGAAATGGGACGAATGAAGGACATTTGGTTTTCTCCAGCTTTGTCCCCATGGGAAAGCCATCTGGGTCCAATACAAAGAGAAATCGTACAGCTGGTTCTTTAATTAGGACAAGGAGGAAATGTCAGAACTGGTCTAGGCCAGACCATGAGACCCTAGTTTATGTAACACATATCTTAGATATAGGCATTCTGTCCCCCTTTAGTGAGAAGTGCTTTGTGTCTGTGATGCAAACTAGTATACAAGTTCAATGAAGCTCAACAAAACCAATAATGAGTAATGTAGCCCCAAGAAGAAAGTGCAGCTTAGCAGAGGGGGCCTTGACAGGGCTTGGAGGCGGGCTAAGGTGGAGCAGGGGTGGTGATTGACAGATCAGGATTCAGGGTAGGCTGATATAAATGTCGGCCATTTTAATAACCCTCATTGCTAATTGACTTACCAGGCTGAATTGGCCCTCCTTACCTTTAATGTTGGTTTTTTTATTCTGCCCGCTTGGTCACAGCGGCGGGCTTGTGGAAGGAAAGTTAAGGGGGTAACGGGCCTGCTTAAGGAAGAATAGAGTGAGAGTAGTGAGTTGGCTGTTTTAATACGGACTGGTTACCTGTTGGTAAGATGTTGGTGGTTTCGAGCTTGTTGGTAGCTCAGAACCCAGGTGGTGTAGAGGTATCAAGGAATACCCCTGCCAGGATTGTGTGTAAAATGTTGGATCTTGTTTTGTTATACTTATGGATTGTTATACAATGTTATGTTATATATGATGGGTCATTGCCTTGAGAATTCATATGTGGGAAAGTGATAATGTTGGATGGCTGAGGATTTGGTGGTGGGCCAAGACTTTTTCTGTTATTGTTATTATTATTATCTTATTATAAATATATAAATAAAAGCTGTGGACATATTGACCCATACCCAAAAGTGTCAATGTTTCATTGGGGTGGGTTGGGAAAAGGTAATGGTCAGCTCCTCCTGCCCATATGGCGACAATGCACCTGCCATGAATATAATTGTATCGTGTGATTAACAAGAACTCAAAGGGATTAACTATTATAGATAAGTACAAGAATCCACATAATTGCAAAAGCAAGTTTTATTACACTTTGTTTACACCATTAATAGAAGGGTCCAAGTAAAAGGTTTAACACATTAACCGTATAAAGTACCCACCACTTTTCTAGAATGAAAGGAATACTAAAAGCACCATAACCACAATAGCATAACCTATACAACATGGTGGTGCAGGGACTAGCACATTGGCTGACAGCGATCTGCTATTGCCCTCAGCCAAAAAGATGGCTCTGCATGACAGGGCTCGGGTCAGTGAAGCTAACTGAAGCGTCTTGCAGAAGGTAAGTTGTCAAACAGTTCTTAAATTGTTTAACGACTTACAGTGGCAGGGTGCCAGAGCACATCTAGCACCATAACCAGTAGTGGTTATGGTACTTGGAATTTTCCTTGAAAGCGAACCTGTGATGTCATATGTGACGGAATCTGATATTAACATGCTCACATTAGAGGAGGAGAAATGATCTTCTGGTAAGTATTACTTAAATCTTTAAATTCTCTCTAGAATAATGAATAGAATACTATTATAAAACTATGTGAGGATCCTGTCTTCCATATGGTTTGTGTAGGACAGAATTCCATTCATATATTTCACTTCACCAAATAAAACTAGCTGATAATTTATATTGTCTCCATGAGTCCACCTACACAGTCCGAGCTAATCTGACAAAGTATGATACATCAGAAGATTCCATGGGCATAAATGATGCAAGGCAGCTGGAAGCACTTTAATATTTCTATGTCTATATTTATATCTTTGGAACTGACTGAAAATGACTTTTCTGACTCACCACATGCTCTGCAGACAAGCCCTGCTTAAAGGGACACTATAGTCACCCAGACCACTTCAGCTCAATGAAGTGGTCTGGGTGCCAGGTCACCCAGGTTTTAACCCATCAGATGTAAACATAGCAGATTCAGAGAAAGGATGGATAAAGGTTAGTAACTGAAGGAGTTTTAACCCCTTCAGTGCCAAGGGAGGGGGACCCTGAGAGAGTGGGGAGGGGGGGAGGGGGGGAGTCCTAAGCATGATATAGTGTCAGGAAAACAAGTTTGTTTTCCTGACACTATAGTGATCCTTTAACCACTAGAGATGTGGCCAACATTTAGAGATGTGGCCAAGAAAAAAAAAGATAAAACTATGAAACAACTAAATAAACACCCAATTTGCTAAAGAACAGACTAAGAATGGCTGATAAGATATTATACGCTTATTTTATAGAACAGACATTGGTTTCCTCATTAGTTTCCTCTTCAGCAAAACTATTTTTATAATTTCACACCATTTTTCTGTGGCATGGAAATTTATTGTGTAAAAATGTGTTTCCTATCTCAAGACTCCAGTCTTGTTCGTCAGCCCACACCACAGCTTTCCAAACACGGAATTAGCAGCATTTATCTAGATGTGCTATTTTCAGATGTTTTTATGCCAAGTGAAGTGTGTGTATTTAAACAAGGAGAACTAGGATTGAGAGAGTGTTCTTAAACTCTGAGAACCAGAAGAGAGAGAGAGTGTTCTTAAACTCCAGGAACCAGCAGAGAGAGTGTTCTCTGAGAACTAGGATTGAGAGAGTGCTCTTAAACTCTGAGAACCAGGAGAGAGAGTGCTCTTAACCTCCTAGAACCAAGAGGGAGAGTGTTCTAAACTCAGAGAACTAGGATTGAGAGAGTGCTCTTAAACTCCAAGAACCAGGACAGAAAGTGCTCTTATACGCCGAGGATCTAAGACTGAAAGAGTGCTCTTAAACTCCGAGAACTAGGATTGAGTGAGTGTTCTTAAACTCTGAGAACTAGGATTGAGTAAGTGTTCTTAAACTTATATCCCAGTGCTATCCAAACTCTGGCCCGCCAGATGTTGCTGGACTACAACTCCCATGATTCTTTGAGAGAAATAGATTAAAATTTTACAAGCAGATGGAGACTGGCAAATATATGAAATGACATTTCCCTGTTCAATATATATATATATATATATATAATATATATACAACTTAAAAAAATATCTTTATTTATGAAAAAGCACAACCCAATGCTATATCCCAGTGTTATCCAAACTCTGGCCCGCCAGATGTTGCTGGACTACAACTCCCATGATTCTTTGAGAGAAATAGCCAGAAAATCATGGGGGTTGTAGTTCAGCAACATCTAGGGGGTCATAGGTTAGATAACCCTGCGTATATTCCTTCAAGAGTCCCCTAAAAGGATGGTCAAATAAAACATTCTTTAGTATGTAACATATTTTTTGCTGCTCTGGGTACTTGAAGTTATTTAACCCACATATACAAACATATTCTCAATATCTTCAATTGGCGTCAGCAGAGTCAAAGAATGCCACTGGGAAGCCGAGGATTACTGTTCAAGCAGCTTAGCTCTGGATGTAGCTGGTCCAAGCAAGCTTTTTCTTGATGCAGAGAGAACATTCTTTTTATCTATATGGAGAAAATGTGGTGTTAACATTCACAGAATTTCTATAGTAGCCCATGGACATTTATATCACATCATCTGATGTCTTTAAACTTATCAAATAACACTGCCATGATTGTAACACCTTGTTTTAACATTGATTTTCTTTATCATGAGATTACTAACTACTTTTTAATGTCATAGCTTAAATAAACTGTTTGTCAGTGGAATTAACATTAAATATATTTCCGCGTATGTGCATATTTTACTCTTTTCATCTGTCTGTCCATCTAGTATCTAATAATATATTGCATGCTAAATGTACCTAATGTACAGATAGTATATGTCTTTTATGCATACAAGCAAAAATAAACTGAATAAAATAAATATATTAACCATTAAAAGACGTGCTGTGACTGTAATTTATGATTATTAAACATAAAGACTTCTAAAACACAAAATATAGTATTGTTAATATCATGAACACATTGAAATATTGTATTTTATACATATTAACTGCCCTGAATTATTATCTATATACTTGTTTTTGTATTATTGATTCCATTTTTTTTTTTGATAAGATATGTCCCCCTAGGGCACTTGAAAAAATCCATCCCAGTACTTTGTTGCATATTCACTATTGCAGATTATTAAACAGATTAATAAATTGTGTTTACCCTTGCTACTGATACGATGCTTTCAGCCAGTGTCAAAGTTCTAAGATGTTGAAAAATAAAGATCCAATGCTCCTAACGGATTTCAGGTGAGTTAATCCTATTTTGCTAGTTTATTTTAGCATTTGGGAGGGAGAAGGGGGGAGAGACCTAAAGAATAATTATTTGTTTAAAAAAAATGTACTAAGGGTTACAGTAACCATTTAAATATCGGGGGTTATTAAACGTAGTATTGAAAATCCAGGGATGTGACTTTTCCCTTTAAGGATCTTTGTTTAGGTCTGGGCATTACATAGATCATTTCTATGATTGCCTCCCATAAGCTGCCCGCACATTAAATTGCAGTTAACCAGGCATGTTTAACAGTTGGCAATAAACTTTGTATATTGTAGTTGAGAGCGAGAAGAATGTTGATGTAGTTTGTGTTGTACTTTCGACTTGCAATCCCTAATCCTCTTTTCCTAAAGGATGTCCATCTATGGCTTAGGTTGATATTCGTTCGAGATCGTGCCCCTTGAAACCTCCAGTAGCTTTGCCAGTTTTTGTAACTGATCTATCAGCAGTTTGGCGGAAGACTATTTGGCCACTGATTGCTTCAAGTTCTGCTGAAAACTTGAGATGTGCTAATTGTCAGAACTCCAGTATATTCAAACTACTAATTGGCAATTAACCTAAAATGACTCACCATTGCATTTAGAAGGGTGATTTAGCTACTTCAAAGTTATGTTCTCAAGTTTCTGTAAATTTATTTAATTTATTAGCCGTTGCCATTGAAGGTGTACTTCTGCAACTCCGTAAACCCCCCCACCCCCTAAAAAAACCAAAAACAGATTTTATTTGAAAATATTAATATTAACTTTTTTTTTTTTTTATTAACCTGGAATTGAACTTTAGAATTTTTTATTTGCTTCAAGTGATGTTCAACCCAAGGAATGTTATAATTGAGATGCAGTAGCTAAAGACTAAAAAAGGCATTTTTCCAAAGAAATAACAAACATATCTCTCCCGTCATGCATTGCACATAGATATTGTGAAATCTGCAGAAATTTGAAAGACAGATGTTTTGCCTCAACTGATACAGTCTCCTATCAAAGCAGCCAACCAGGTTCACAAATTGAAAACAAATGAAATTAAAGAGAGAAAGACTGATGATGGGATATATTTTTTGAAGATTGACATTAAAAAATATATGGAGGAAAAAAAAGGTACTAGGGGGCACACCCAGAACTTGCATTTCTCAGTAGTGGTGCTGCTGTGTAGACCAGAATTTATACAAAATACAGATTATGGAATAGCATACACAAAAAATACACAGTTTTAAATCAAGGCTACTTAAAATCACCTCTCTTAGCATACAGATATGGGAATACAATTACACAATATGGCCATATTGTGTTAAACCCACCACTACTACAGTACCCCAATATCGGTGGTTCATACACTAATTTTAACGTGGGAGAAAATCATTTAACTTGCAATACTTACTGCTTAAACAGCTCCTCAAAGTTATGCTATCCTATACTATGTGTACATATAGTATTTTAGAAGAAAGCAATATCTGCATATTAAAAAACAATATATAATATGTATGGGTTAAATTAAAGAGAAACCTTTAAATTGCAGCAGAACAAACACATAGCACAAATTCTAGGTTTTGTTTTCGATTTAGAAGTTGAACCCCAATTGCCCCTGTCCTTAAGGGGTTAAAGAAAGTGGGACACATTTATATGTGATAAATAAATAAACACAATTAGCTTTTTCACCTAAAGAATAAAAAATAAAATCAGCAGCTATAGCTACGTTGTTTCATTTGAAATGAGCTTGCAAATGTGGTCTTTAACGCTATTAGTGTTTGTGTCACTTTCTCGTCTTTGTTTTTGTACCATCAGTTATAATTACAATGAAATTGACACGTTTGTGGGTTTTTCCAACCTAATTTTGTAACTTTATGTAACCTTACAGTCAATGGGAGGTTTGTATAAAAATGCAATTCTGGGGCAAGGTTCTAGAAGTGGAACAATTACTCGAACATTCCATTGGTTTCCATGGTGATTGTTCCACTTTTAGAATGTTTCCATAGAATTACTCTTTATACACGACCTCCATTGTTCCTGTCTTTAGCCTTTTTATAAGGTATGTTATTAGAATTATACAGGGGAAAAGCTGTTTCTCTGCTTTGAATATGTATGCTTGGGAGATTTAGAACATTTCTCCACTGGTATGTAATAAATTAGACCGTAGAACGATGTGGAAAATTGCTGATTATGAGAATCTCTCCTCCCTTCTCCCATGAACAGCCAAGTAACTTGCTTGGATGTAAATAATCATGAAGACTACAAATGAGTTGGCCAGTCTGGAAGCACACCCACGTTTTTCTCAACAATGGGGTTATTCTGCCTTAGTAATTCACAGGACAGCGAAGTGCATGGTGCCAAATTCACACTTGTATGAATGGAGCTTGCCCTTGCAGTAAGGGCAGACTGGCAATCACACTGTAAACAAGTGTTCCAATGAGTTCTTAGCTCACAGGTGCTGTCCTTGTTTCCATTCCCAAGCTTTCACTTTGCTGTTTAAAATAAACAGCAGCACATGTGTTAGAGCGCTGTGTGCAATGGGTAAACTCCAGCTGCAGCCTTTATGGCCAGTGTTAGGGTTGGTGAACACCATTTATTATAAATACAACTTTAACCTCTCTAGGCCAAGTGGCATCAATTAAAGTCATCCCAGTCTAGTCCTTAATATTCATATACCAGCATGGAATGTCCTGCTAACTTAAAGAAACACTATAGTGTCAGGAATACAAATGTATTAAAATATTGATGATCTCTGCCAATCTAATGCTTTCCCAGAGGAAAGCATTGGGAGGCTAATGCGCATGTGTGGCAAAATATGGCGCCAATCAGCATCTCCTCAGAAACGCTGAATCTCATTGTGCAGCACTGGACTAGAAGGCACCTCTGTTGCCGTCTGACTGACTGCCACTAGAGGTGTTACTAGGCAGTAATGTAAACACTGCCTTATCTCTGAAAGGCAGCCTTAACATAGAAACATAGAATGTGACGGCAGATAAGAACCATTCAGCCCATCTGGTCTGCCCAATTTTCTAAATGAGTCTCTTATATCTAGGATAGCCCTATGCTTATCCCACGCATGCTTATACTCCTTCTCTGTTAACCTCTACCACTTCAGCTGGAAGGCTATTCCATGTATCGACTACCCTCTCAGTAAAGTAATAATTCCTGATATTCTTTTTAAACCTTTGCCCCTCTAATTTAAGACTATGTCCTCTTGTTGTGGTAGTTTTTCTTCTTTTAAATATAGTATCCTCCTTTACTGTGTTGAATCCCTTTATGTATTTAAATGTTTCTATCATATCCCCCATGTCTCTTCTTTCCTCCAAGCTATGCATGTTAAGATCCTTTAACCTTTCCTTGTAAGTTTTATCCTGCAATCCATGAACCAGTTTAGTAGCCCTTCTCTGAACTCGCTCCAAAGTATCAATATCCTGCGTACAATACTCCAAGTGAGGTCTCACCAGTGTTCTGTACAATGGCATGAGCACTTCCCACTTTCTACTGCTAATACCTCTCCCTATCAGTGGCGTATCTAGGATACTAATAGTCTAGAGATTGGGACATGGGGTATATGCTCAGCTATCTGTATAATACTATAGTGCTGTTCTCTGTATAATACAGATCTCTGTGTGTATAATATCCAGGGATAGTCAGTGCTTCCTGTATAGTGCTGCTCTTTGTATAATACAGGTCTGTGTCTGTATAATATCCCTGGACAGTCAGTGCTCTCTGTATAATACAGGGTTGTGTGTATAATAAATTGGGACAGTCAGCATTCCCTGTACAGTGCTGCTCTCTGTATAATACATAGCTGTGTGTATAATATCCTAGGAGAGTCAGTGCTCCCTGTATAGTACTGCTCTCTGTATAATACAGGTCTGTGTATAATATCCCAAGACAGAGAGCAGCGCTATACAGGGAACACTGACTGTTCCAGGATATTATACAGACACAGACCTGTATTATACAAAGAGCAGCACTATACAGGAAGCACTGACTATCCCTGGATATTATACACACAGAGATCTGTATTATACAGAGAACAGCACTATAGTATTATACAGATAGCTGAGCATATACCCCATGTCCCAATCTCTAGACTATTAGTACCTGTCAACAGCAGCTCCCAGACGCGTGTAACAGGGCTAAAGTGTGCGGCAGCTCACACAGATGATTCAGCAGTAAAGTGCACTCACTGGCAGAGCCAAATTGTGAATCCCTGGGAAAAAAAGCAGCCCTGGAAAAAAAAATTATGCCATTCCTACAAGTCAAAATATATATATTTGCTCACTGACATGTGCAAATAGGCTCACTGACAGACTGCTGAGTACATACACACAGTACACTGAGAGACTGCTGAATATACACACACACACACACACAGATTTCTGAATGCACACAGACTCCTGAATGCACACAGGCGTTGCTGAATGCACACAGGCTGATTTATACACTTACACACAGACTGCTGAGTCCATACACACAAACAGACACACACACACAGACTGCTGAGTCCAAATACACACACAGCCTGCTGAGTCCATATACATAGACAGTGGCGTACACATGACCCATGGGGCCCCGGTGCGAAAATTGATCCGTGGGCCCCCCCCCCCGCGTGCGGGCCGGGCCGCAACACATGGCGGTGGGCACCTGGTCGCACAGGGATTACAGGGCTGCGACCCCTGCGACTGCGGTATGTACGCCAGTGCATGCAGATGCACACACACTTAATGAAGTGGTCTGGGTGCCAGGTCCAGCTAGGGTTAACCCATTTTTTCATAAACATAGCAGTTTCAGAGAAACTGCTATGTTTATGAATGGGTTAAGCCTTCCCCTATTTCCTCTAGCGGCTGTCTCATTGACGGCCGCTAGAGGCGCTTGCGTGCTTCTCACTGTGATTTTCACAGTGAGAGCACGCCAGCGTCCATAGGAAAGCATTGATAATGCTTTCCTATGCGACCGGCTGAATGCGCGCGCAGCTCTTGCCGCGCGTGCGCATACAGCCGACGGGAAGGAGAAGAGGAGGATCGGAGGAGGAGAGCTCTCCGCCCAGCGCTGGAAAAAGGTAAGTTTTACCCCTTTTCCCCTTTCCAGAGCCGGGCGGGAGGGGGTCCCTGAGGGTGGGGGCACCCTCAGGGCACTATAGTGCCTGGAAAACGAGTATGCTTTCCTGGCACTATAGTGGTCCTTTAAAGGACCACTACAGACACCCAGATCACATCAGCTCAATGAAGTTGTCTGGGTGTCAGGTCCCTCTAGTTTTAACCCTGCAGCTGAAAACATAGCAGTTTCAGAGAAACTGCTATGTTTCACTGAGGGTTAATCCAGCCTCTAGTGGCTGTCTCACTGACAGCTGCTAGAGGAGCACACCGAACGTCCATAGGAAAGCACTGAGTAATGCTTTCCTATGGGCGGTTTGAATGCGTGCGCGGTCGCATTCGGAGCTGAGAGGCTGAGGGATCCTCAGCGCCAAGGGAGTCCGGCGCTGGAGAAAGGTAAGTTCTGAAGACACACGCACACACACACACACTTACAGACGCATACACACTAGCTAACAGACACACACATTTACTGACAGAGACACAGTCAGCGACAGACATACATACACACTCACTTACAAAACATACACTATCATTGACAAACACACACTCATTAACAGACATCAAACAGACTCACTAACACACACACACTCAGTAAGACACACACAGTAACACACTCACTGACACTCACTAGCAGACACACACTAACACTCACACTCACTAGCAGACACACACTAACACTCACTAGCAGACACACACACTAACACTCACTCTAACACTCACACACACTAACACTCACACACTCACTCTAACACTCACACACACTAACACTCACTCACTCTAACACTCACACACACTAACACTCACACACACTAACACTAGTTTTTTTTTTTTTAAATGTAATCCCCCCAGCCTCCTTACCTTTTGGAGTGCTGGGGGGATTCCCTGGGGTCCAGTGGTGGTGCTGCTGGGCTCCTGGGCGGGTGGCTGGTCGGGCAGGCGGGCTGGTGGCCGGTCGGGCAGGCGGGCGCGCGCGCGAGGGAGCACTCAGTGCTTCCTCAGCTCCCTTGCGCGCCGCGTAGGGATGCTGGAGCCGGAAGATGACGTCATCTTCCGGCTCCGGTATCAGTGCGGTACGCGAGGGAGCTGAAGAGGAAGCACTGAGTGCTCCCTCGCGCCCGCCTGCCCGACCGGCCGCCTTCCTGGTGTCAGCAGGGCCAGCCTCGGGGGGCCCTGGGGTGGCCGGCTCCTGGGCCCCCCAGGGGAAGAGGCTGGCCCTGTGGGTACATACCGGGTCGCAGGGGCGGCCGGGCCCCCTGGTGGGCCGGGCCCGGTCGCAGCCGCGACCCCTGCGACCCTGGTATGTACGCCACTGTACATAGACACACACACAGACTGCTGAGTCCATACACACACAGACACACAAACACAGACTGCTGAGTCCATACACACATACAAACTGCTGAGTCCATACACACACAGACACAGACTGCTGAGTCCATATACACACACACACACACACACATACTGCTGAGTCCATACACAGACACAGAAACACAGACTGCTGAGTCCATAAACACAGACACACAGACTGCTGAGTTCATACACATACACACACAGACTGCTGAGTTCATACACACACACACACACACAGACGCACAGACTGCTGAGTTCAAACACACACACACACACAGACTGCTGAGTCCATACACACACACAGACTGCATGCCGAGTCCATACACACACACACACAGACACACACACAGACAGACTGCTGAGTCCATACACACACAGACACACACACAGACTGCTGAGTCCATACACACACACAGACTGCTGAGTCCACACACACAGACTGCTGAGTCCATACACAAACACACACACACACACTGCTGAGTCCATACACAGACACAGAAACACAGATTGCTGAGTCCATAAACACAGACACACAGACTGCTGAGTTCATACACACACACAGACTGCTGAGTTCATACACACACACACACACAGACGCACAGACTGCTGAGTTCAAACACACACACACAGACTGCTGAGTTCATACACACACACACAGACTGCTGAGTCCATACACACACACACAGACTGCTGAGTCCATACACACAGAGACTGCTGAGTCCATACACACAGAGACTGCTGAGTCCATACACACACACAGACTGCGTGCGAGTCCATACACACACACACAGACACACACAGACAGACTGCTGAGTCCATACACACACACACACAGACTGCTGAGTCCACACACACACAGACTGCTGAGTCCATACACAAACACACACACACACACAGACTGCTGAGTCCACACACAAAGACACTGCTGAGTTTATACACACACACACACACACAGACTGCTGAGTTCAAACAACACAGACTGCGGAGTTCATACACACACACACACACACAGACTGCTAAGTCCACACACACACACACACACAGACTGCTGAGTTCATCCACACACACACACACACACACACACACAGACTGCTGAGTTCATCCACACACACACACACACACAAACACACACAGACTGCTGAGTCAATACACACACACACACACACACACACAGACTGCTGAGTCCAAACACACACAGACACACACGCACAGACTGCTGAGTCCATACACACACACACAGATTGCTGAGTTCATACACACATACACAGACTGCTGAGTCCATACACACACACAGACTGCTGAGTCCATACACACACACAGACTGCTAAGTCCATACACACAGATACGCACAGACTGGTGAGTCCATACACACACACACAGACTGCTGAGTTCATACACACACACACACACACAGACTGCTGAGTCCATACACTGTCAGGGTCTTACCTGAGTTGGGAGTCTGTAGCGCAGATATGATGCTCACCCTTGCAGATAGCCACAGGCCGAGGTGGTCAGGTAAGAATTCACCTGGCCTGTGGGTCTGTGCACGGGGGCTGTGCAGGATGCAGTACCAATACGCAGGACAGGCAAGGACTGAACCAGCAGGATGGTCGAGGGATAGCCGAGGTCAAAGGATGCCAGAGGACAGGAACAACGAGGAGTAGCCGAAGTCAAGGGATGCCAGAAGTCAGAATAAACGAGTCAGGAAGCCGGGGTCAATAATGTGAAGCGATGAAACAGGAACACTAGAACAAACAGGATCAAAGACTTGACACTGAGCACAGGGCGAGGCTGGGTTTATATACCCTGCTGATGACTGATCAGAGTCAGGTGAAACACAGCCAAGTCAAGGTGCAGCCCCCAGAGTAGTAGCCATGTCAGGATGAACAGGACTGGAATCAGTCTTCACTGTAAATAGCTGCTGTGGCTCAGAGGTAGAAAGCAGGACCAGGACTGAGAAGATCCCCGGTTCAAGTCCCCTGTTGGGAACTCCAAGAACGACCACGTCTTGCCGTCTGTCTATCAGGTGAGAACCGTGACAGTACCCCCCCTTTAAAAACGACCTCCGGGCGTAAATAGGTTCACTGTCAGCATAGTACACATCTCCAGGGTCACTATCTGAATCCAGTGAGTCCCCATAGTCAAACTCCCCAGCAAGGATTCCCTTTACAGCTTGGGAGTCCGCGGTACCAGCTTCTGGTACGGCTGGAGAATTGTCCAGGTCTTTCAGGTTCCGGGTACAGGTGGCAAGCACTTCCAAAACTTTGGCAGGAGCAGTGTTCGCAGCTAACAATGCTTTTTCGAACATTTCAAGGTCTTCTTTACGGACTGTAGTGCCATTAGAAGCAACGGCACAATCCACAGGTAAAACCTCTTCGGGCGGGCAGGAAGTAGTGGTGGTATCACAGGAAGCAACTTCGGGAGTAGATGCAGGAGGCTCTGGAGCAGGGGATGGAGGGTTTCTCGCGGAAGCCAAGCATGTGCAAGCACAACGGCTTCTATTTGGCTTTTTAGGCTGGTATGCGGTGTACACAGGGCGAAGGAAACTATTACCAAGTCGGAGAGCTGGAGGTCTAGGAGGGCGAACAGGACAAAGCGTGATGAAATGCCCTTTTTCTCCACAGTAGTAACATAGGCCATAGCTTCTCCTTCGGTCTCTTTCCCTAGGTGTCACTTTGCAGTGGACGAGTCCTAATTGCATAGGTTCCACAGGGTCAAGTGGAACACCGGATACCTCTGGAGTTTTCCTGGGAGCTGGAACATAAGGAGGCATCTCTGGGGTGTAGTGGTGGTACTCGGTTTCTTGGTTAGGAAGAATCTGAGATTTTTTAGTACGTGGAGCTGACTTGGCCACAGTGGTCTTACATTGTGAGTCCATAGCAGTACTAAAGGATTCCCAGCTGACCAGGACAGGACTCTTCGTCTGCAACATTTGGTGAGCCCAAACTTTGATGCGTCCAGACAACAGGTTGATAGCCGCTCTGACCCTGATGAATTCTGTGGCATATGTTCGAGGCTTTAAAGAAAACAACACCTCACAATCCATCTTGAAAGACTGAAAGGATGTGCGGCTACCATCAAATCGGTCGGGCATGATGACAAACGGTTCAGGAAAAGCTGGTTCCGGGGCTGGATGTACTGCGCCTTTAAGGAATAAAATTTCTTGCTGCAGCTCCGAAACAGTCTGGGCCAGGCTGGACACACGCTGGGTCGAGGGTGAGCACATCTCTGCGGACTCCATAATGGTCAAGTCTTATGTCAGGGTCTTACCTGAGTTGGGAGTCTGTAGCGCAGATATGATGCTCACCCTTGCAGATAGCCACAGGCCGAGGTGGTCAGGTAAGAATTCACCTGGCCTGTGGGTCTGTGCACGGGGGCTGTGCAGGATGCAGTACCAATACGCAGGACAGGCAAGGACTGAACCAGCAGGATGGTCGAGGGATAGCCGAGGTCAAAGGATGCCAGAGGACAGGAACAACGAGGAGTAGCCGAAGTCAAGGGATGCCAGAAGTCAGAATAAACGAGTCAGGAAGCCGGGGTCAATAATGCGAAGCGATGAAACAGGAACACTAGAACAAACAGGATCAAAGACTTGACACTGAGCACAGGGCGAGGCTGGGTTTATATACCCTGCTGATGACTGATCAGAGTCAGGTGAAACACAGCCAAGTCAAGGTGCAGCCCCCAGAGTAGTAGCCATGTCAGGATGAACAGGACTGGAATCAGTCTTCACTGTAAATAGCTGCTGTGGCTCAGAGGTAGAAAGCAGGACCAGGACTGAGAAGATCCCCGGTTCAAGTCCCCTGTTGGGAACTCCAAGAGCGACCATGTCTTGCCGTCTGTCTATCAGGTGAGAACCGTGACATACACACACAGAGTGCTGAGTCAATACACACACACAGACTGCTGAGTCCATACACACACAGACACACACGCACAGACTGCTGAGTCCATACACACACACACACACAGATTGCTGAGTTCATACACACAGACTGCTGAGTCCATAAACACACACACAGACTGCTAAGTCCATACACACAGATACGCACAGACTGGTGAGTCCATACACACACACAGACTGCTGTGTTCATACACACACACACACACACACACAGAGACTGCTGAGTTCACACACACACAGACTGCTGAGTCCACTCTCAGACAGCCACTAGAGACACTTTCCGCAGTTTCACAGAGTCTATCAGACAGCCACGAGAGGCGCTTCCTGCAGTTTCATGAAACAACGCTGGGAGTCTTCAAACTGTGCACACAGACTGCTGAGTCCACACACACAGACTGCTGAAGTCCATACATACACACACAAGCTTCCTCACTAGCAGACACACACACAAGCACATTAAGCCTACCTGTCACTGGAGGCTCTGTTGCTTGGGGTCAGACAGCCATCTTCCATCTTTTCTAGCAGCAGCATGGTCTGCTGCTTAATGACAGGGGCGTGGCTTATTTATGGGAGGCGTGGCCTGTGCCGGGGAGCCTGTCAGTGCTCCCTCCGGCCACAGACAATACCTAGCACTGCATTCCCTCGGGCTGTAGCAGATTGTTACAGTCCGAGGGAATATCATTTAAACACATGGCCAGCAAGTTGCCGGCATTTGGCACTATAGGCACCCAGAGCACTTAATCTCATTGTAGTGGATCTCTTAACCCTGCAGGTGCGAACATTGCAGTTTCAGAGAAACTACAATGCTCACATTGACGGGTTAAGCTTTCCCCTATCATGCAACCACTTCCTGCAGTTTCACGGAGTCTATCAGACAGCCCTATACAACCAAGTCTATCACGGAGTCTATCAGACAGCCACGAGAGGCGCTTCCGGCAGTTTCACGGAGTATATCAGGCAGTCACTTTCAGACAGCCACTAGAGGCACTTCCTGCAGTTTCACGGAGTATATCAGACAGCCACGAGAGGCGCTTCCTGCAGTTTCACGGAGTTTATCAGACAGCCACTCTCAGACAGCCACTAGAGACACTTCCTGCAGTTTCACGGAGTCTATCAAACAGCCACGAGAGGCGCTTCCTGCAGTTTCACGGAGTATATCAGTCACTTTCAGACAGCCACTAGAGGCACTTCCTGCAGTTTCACGGCGTATATCAGACAGCCACTAGAGGCGCTTCCTGCAGTTTCACGGAGTTTATCAGACAGCCACTCTCAGACAGCCACTAGAGACACTTTCCGCAGTTTCACGGAGTATATCAGACAGCCACTAGAGGCGCTTCCTGCAGTTTCATGGAGTTTGACTCCGTGAAACAACGCTGGGAGTCTTCAAACTGTGCATGAGGACATCCAGCGTCTTCTAAATCCCTTTAGGAAAGCACTGAGTCAATGCTTTCCTACGTGGAAGGAGTAATGCGTGACAAATATATTTAAAACTTTGGAGAGTTCCTTTAGCATGCAAATATTAGAATTGTAGAGAATGATTCAAAGCTATTTCTTGAATTAAGTTAAAACATTGTACAAAAATTGTAGGAACTAAGTACAGCATGAACTTTTTACATATCCCTCCTTTATCTGAGATGGTTTGGCTATAGATCCCAGTCCAGCATGCTGGTAGCAGTTGCGACATGTTGACAGCTGTTTTCAGTAAAGTACTCAGTGCTTAGAGCTTTAATGTCAGTAAGGTGCAGCTGGTCTCTCAGCAGTAGCTCCTTCTAAAACAGCTGCAATGGGTCCTACATTCCAATATTACATCTAACCATGGGCTTCTCACACCATTCTACCAGTGATTGCACCCTACAGTTGTTGCAATTTTCTGTTGCTGTGTCACATTCACTAATGCGAGTCTCATTCGTGTTGTTGCTGTCTGTAATTTCAGGGGTATCTCTGTTTTCAAGGTTGCCAAAAAAAAAATAGAAAAAAAATAAACATAAACGCAGATGCCACTAAACACAGGTTACAAAACACAAGCTGAATTTATTTGTTTAAAATTTACTATCAACTAAACCAAAAAATGAAAGAACCCAAATGTTCCCTAAATTAATTCCTAAACGTTGATAAAAATAAACCAATAAATAGGCCAGCTGGAGGTACACAGTTAGAATGAGTAGATTATTAAGTTAACCAAACTAAAAAATGAAATAAACATATTATATATATATATTTTTTTTTTTTCATGATCTGCCCTTTGACAGTGGCTGACACTATACAATTTATTTTTCTTCTAGTTTCGTACATATCCTGGTCTAACACATATTAGTGGGAGCTACACTCCCACCAATCACAGGCAGACTAAGACTTGTATTTCCCATGCTCCCTAAGATTAAAAAAAAACAGAACCTTAGACTTTAACAGGGTTATTTACCAAAGGGAGAATTGCTGGGAATTTAAGGTGAATTCAAGTAAATTTCACAATATAGGCCAAAATTGCCAATTTTGAAATATTCTCCAAATTCAATACTGTGTTCAGTATAGCTGTTTTTGGTCTTACATTTGAGACTTACTTGAATTCCCAGCAATTCTCACCAAGCCATAGCCATAGCCATAACTCTATTTCCATATATAGAACATCACAAATTCAATAGCAAGTTAAAATTGCAAGCATGAAATAGGCCCATTTTACAGTTTTGTATGGTCACAAATTGAGGAAGATCTGCAGGTTCTTTCGAAAAATTATAGGTAAATAGGAACATCTGTTTTTGGTGTTTCTGGGACAGGGTTATGGAGAAAGAAGGAGAATTGACCTGGGATTAGGTTGCCTGGGGCTTGAGGACCTTCTGGTCCTGTTATGAATAAAAAGTGGCGTTAACAGAATTTGGTCCTGTGGCTCTTCATTACACTGCTACCCTTAGCTCCCATGATTTAAAAATAATGTAAGGAAGAGGTGGGACCATTATTTGACTACTCCATGGTCATTTACCTCTCGTTAGATTAATAACGGTCATCAAAGCATTAATTAGCATGTCAGAGAAAGCAATCAGTATCTCTATTGGTAACGTCTGTGATGTATTTGTGTTCAAGGCCACTTATGCATTCATGTACAGACTCATTAAAATACATGCTGGAAAAGTTAATTACCTGTTGAGAGCAAAAAATGTTGTGCCACTAATTTTAGAAGCAATAACTAAATTGCATTGCTAGGGGTGAACTGACAACTCACAGGGCCCCTGGGCATAGAAAATCAAGGACCCCCTCCTGGTGCAAAGATTTTTGGCTACTAGTAGTCCTGACATGTGCATAGTCGCCATATGGGTAGGCGGAATCAAAACCAAAACCTCCCACATACAAAACTCTAAAAAGACTCAGACACTAGGATATATGGGTCAAAATTGTCCACAGCTTTTATTTATAATAATATTTGCAATAAATTAACATAGAAAAAAAGTAATTGCCCCAAACCCCGCCATACCACATCCGTATCCCCCACAATTAGATATAAAAGGCAATGACCCATATATAAACACATAACATATAACAGTATTTCAACATGAACATAAATTAAAGTGCCAACTTTTTAATTAACCATTGTAGGGGTATACCCCTACCCCACCAGGTTCTGAGCCAAGCTCGAAACCTACCAAACCTACCAAGAACCATATTAACCATTTCCAAAACCATCATGAAAGAGAGCCTATTTCCTATCCTTCAGCTCACTATCCCGCCACAAGCTCAGACCTTGATCCCTTAAGCCGTCTGAGCTCCACCACCCCGAAGAAACATCACTTTAAGCAGCCCCTCCTGCCAACCCAGGTTCAGAAGATCCTAGTCTTACCCTACTCCGGAGAGGTGAGCTCCATCCAAATTGAAAGTAACCGGGCAACCCAGATTTCAATTCTCGATACCTGACTACCACTCCCTCCACCTTTCCTGACAGCGATCTATTGCGAGCGGGTTGCAAGCGTGCTGCCACTGCCGCCGGGGTATAATCTCCGACCAAACCAACATTTCCCTGGGAAGCAGGTCCCTCAACCTGTTAATGTCCTGCTTCATCCACTTCACCAGCTGACACTGCGGTACGAGGCCCAGATCATTACACCCGGCATGTAAGACAATATAATCAGGCCTCCCCACACCCGATACCATCCAAAACACAGCATTACATTCCCCCCAACAAAAACCCCTGTAACTGAACCAACAGATTGCTATCTGGTCCACCGGAAAGCCCAGCTGCTGACCCTGAACACGAGCTGCAGCCTTCCTCTTGGCCCAGAAAACGAACGAATGACCGACGATCCAGGCGACTTTACCTAGGGAGACAAACAAAAACATCAACACCGACCCCCAAAACCCACAGTCCCACTATCCTCAATCCAGCAGCCACCATCGGACACCTGGCCACCCCTGCCCCCATTGCAGGATGATCTACCACTCCGTGAACCCCGAGGGGACCTGACACTCCGAGACCTACACCTCCCCTGCCGCTGAGCCCTTGGGGACCGAACGCCCATCATCAAGGTGGGACCCCTAGGATCCACCTGCCGCCCACAGGCCTGACTATGATCCCCCCAAGACGCAGCCTGACTGACCCGCCTGCCTACCACACTCTGTCCGCCACCCGCCATGGGCCCCAGCCTATAATTGCTCCCTCCCATATGCTCGCTGGCCCCTTACGTCTCGCAGGACCCCCCTGTCAGCAGGCTGCCCCGATCCCAGAAACTGTATTGCTTGTAGGGGGTCCCCCATCTGGCCCAGCAACACTGGCCCACTGCAGGGGTTAGCAAACCGTGTCCCCTGCCCCCCTGAGTAAGGGTCCCAGGGGGCTGGTTGTGTTGTAGTGTGTGTGGATATGGGGTTGTTGTTGGTGCAGGGGAAATAGTGGTTCATGAGGTCATAGGGGCCGTAGTCGGTATAGAGGCTGTAGTGGGTGCAAAGTGGTTTAGGGGCTGTAGTGGGTGCAAGGATGCACAAGCTGAAGTTGATGCAAGGGAGGACTGGGTATTGAAGTTGGTGCATGGGGCACAGGGCTTGTAGTGGGTGCAAAGTGGTTTAGGGGCTGTAGTGGGTGCAAGGATGCACAAGCTGAAGTTGATGCAAGGGAGGACTGGGTATTGAAGTTGGTGCAGGGGGGACAGGGGTTGTAGGGGATGCAGTAGAGGGATGGGTGCGGCAGTAGGTGCAGGGTAGGACAGGTTGCTGAACTCGTGGAAATCCCTGTCTCCACACCAGCACACATTTTCCCTTTTGCTAAAATGGAGCATGCAGAGTATGAGCTGTTTCTGCAACCAGACTACTCCTTATTGTCTGCAGTCTGCATGAGAGGAGAGCACAGGAAGTGATATCCCTTCCCAGACCCCGCCTTTCCTCACGCATTGCTCTGCCGAGGAGATTTTATAAGAGCAAGGAAGGCCATCACAACTGAACATTATCTATTCTGAATTTTTTTATTTAATGTTGCTCTATTGCATGTTAGGAGATTCTGTATGCAACACATAAATAATAATTAATAACATTTTATATAGACAATTCCTTATTTTCTATCGATTAATACAGTTTTTTTTTTTTTCATATTGTTTCAGGTTAAAGTTTGCTGTAACGTGGAAAATATCTCGGTGACTAATTGCTTTAAGCGACTATGGTGACGAAACGTAGACAGATGTGTAGGTGGAGGGCAATAAGGTTGTTGGTGGCAGGGTGGATTCTGGGAATGAAAACGGCGAACACAAGCTTTTCCCTTGTCCTGTAAGACAAACTGACTTCAATGCTTAGAGCTTGTAAGAAAAAGGTGAAAGGTCATACAGCAGCCACATTCCTTTATACCCAGGCAATGCACAAAAAGTCTCAAATGAGAGTGTGTGTCTTATGGTAATCCTAGAGGGAGTAAGTGGAGATGAATCATTATCTAGGGAAGCAATTAACCTGTCTGCAAACCATGGTTTTGGTTTCTGATGCAAGTTGTTGAGATCTCGCTTGAGGACTGTATGGAAAGATGAACGTAATTGACTGCTCTGTACTCAGTCAGCGCTATTCATTCTGAATGGCACAGCTATTATTATTATTGCCATTTATATAGCGCCAACAGATTCCGTAGCGCTTTACAATATTATAAGAGGGGGGGAGGGTTTAACTATAAATAGGACAATTACAAAAAAATCTGTACAGGAATGATAGGTTGAAGAGGACCCTGCTCAAACGAGCTTACAGTCTATGGGCTATAAACATTGTATTGCTGAAGTCTTCCATCAGTAGGACTATAACCACAATACGGGAAACTAGTGTTAATCTATATCACAGCAACCCCTCCCAGCGATGTGTGTCACATATGATGTCGCAAAATGACCACATGACCCTGCCCAATGGCTAAGACTTTGGGGCAATGGGAGATAAATGCTGTATAAGCACTCTACTGGACTTCTCACTTGGGATGGTGCTGAGGTATATGGATTCACGATACTTTTAAAAAAAATTTTTTTTGTGAATTTGTGTTTCCCCGTTTCAAGGACATTTTGCATTTATAAAGGGGCAGCCTAAAACGTCTGCATATAGTTTATGTCCTTCAGTAAATCACTTGCAGCCCCGTTGTGCACTGGTGCACCTGGTAGCGTTGCTTTCATTTTCGTATCGTACGTCAGCAAATTTAACACGACAACAGCTGCTTCAGAAAAAAAACAGCCACATAACTTATACTGTGAATCATATGGACCGACGTAATGAGTGTGTATTGTCAGTATAGGCTGGACTTTGCTCAACATTTCCAACATTACCAACAAATTAGTGTGGGCCTCAAAACACTGGTGAAGATTCAATGGACGCTTAGGGCATCAATACAACTTGAACAGATTTGATGGGTTTGGGCCTGCATTTTGTGCATTCTCAAATCTCTATTTTTTTTACAGAAAAAAAAAAGTTTTGCTGAATCCTGCGCCGTAAGCCTGCCTCCTTAGCCACACCCCCTCACTCCAGCAAAGACTTCCTTATGTATGTACACAGCTCAGCCACTGATAGTTCTGAATGATCTGAACTACAAACCAACCTGCATTAGAAGGAGAGGACACCCAGGGAGACATGTAATAAGTGATAATTATATCACCATCTGTTTGTTGGTGGTTTTTCTGACTGTTTGAGTCAGGCTGTGAATTAAAAGCAAAATGTTTACCTTAAATGTGGCCTCCAAGCACCGTAACCAGTACAACAGGCTGTAGTGGTTATGGTGGCTAAAACGCTCTTTAAGAGCACAGCAGCAGATAAGTTGCCAGCCAAAACCAATACAATGTATCTACATAGGGACAAAAGCATCTCCTGCCCAAAACGGTGCCTAAAGTCCTGTGACGCAACTTTGTGGAAGATTTCAGTAGTTGTCAGTCAGCCTTAAACCAAATGTAAGAGAAAATAACCAGAAAAATCAGAAAAGCTTAGAAATTTGTCCCATGAGTGGTTCCCACCCTGGAAGGTCTGTATCGAGGTTTAACTCACCTGTGCTGTTACAAGCTGATTTGCTAAGCTAAGGGCGAGCTATATAGCCTTGGGCCTTTCACAATGGTATACAGTATACGTACATGTACTATATGCAGAATTGTATCATACATTTTTTCCTATTCATATGTGTATCACCATTGGCAACAAAATAAATATACTGATATTTTACGGAATGTCTCTGCTTTCACGTCATGCCAACTCAGATGTTTGTTTAACGATGTCCGTTATTATAGCCCTTCTTATCTAAGGTAAGTACCTGGCGTCTTTACAATACAATAGCTCTAGGGAGATAAATGTGGCATATTTCATACGTGTATACGTGCAGGTGATTTAACCCACCCATAAGTTATTTCTGAGTAATTTTACATTTTATAATGCAGCTAAAATATACCTTGGAAAATAAGTAACTAGTCCAGTGACTTATACACAGAGGTATTAGCGCAGCGGTGCATTATGCAAATTCATTGGGTATTAACTAATGCACAAAAGTCAAGAGACCTTTGTACAGGAAATACATTAACATTTTATCTAAGGAAACAAACAAATCGTTTTTTCTGCAACCCAGCAATCCCATGAATTTAAACAGTGGGCTCAAAGATGGGTGAATTGACAAATTTTGGCTCTAACTGTTTAATCTTTTAATGGGCTATGTGGGCACCAAGACCACTCTCAATGAAGTGGTCTGGGTGTCAAGATCCTGTCGTTTTAACCCTGCAACTCAAAACTTTGCCGCTTTGCCTGAATACTAGTGTTTCCATTGCAGGGTTAACATGCCTCTAGTGGTTGCCATGAAGACAGCCATTAGAGGCACTTCCGCAGATATTACCAAGCTAACGTGACTCTCATTGATAGTGTTTCATTGGGGCAGTGCGTCGATTTGCTGTGCATGCGCACTAACCTCCCAATGCTTCCCTATGGGTAACACTGAGGAGAGCAGCGTGCCACGGGAAATAAGGTAAGTAGAATGTACCATTTAAACCGCTGCAAAGGAGGTGGGGGGAGTGGGAGGGAGCTAAGGAAACTCTACAGCATTAGGAATGAATGTTTGTATTTCTAACACAATAGTGTTACTGTAATTTTCCGTTCCTCCTGTGATTTCTCTTTCTTTTTTCTGAGTCTATAAATAAATGGAACATTTCGCAATATGTATCGTGATTCATACCTCTTGTTATTTTGTCACACCCACCCACAAAGCAACCTTGTTAATATCTATAAATTGGCAATAAGCATGGTTCAACTCTAAAATTATTACACTTGGTGAAATTTCCCTAAAATTGCATTTTCTAGGATTGCATGTTCCTTGATTTTTGCAAAACATTCCACAAAACGTATCTGAAATCGAAAATAATGCGTTTAACGTTAAACTGAATAGGCAATATGTAGGACTTGCCTTCTACAAACGAGCTAAACCTACAATACTTTAATGGCCAGAGTAGCAAGTGGCTGAACAGATGGGTTAGTGCAAGATGTATTTAATTGTTTATATTTGCGAATCCCATTGATCCTTAGGACATTTAAACAGAGCATTTCATATTCTTTCAGATTATTGATTGCTTGCCTCAAGATAGCTCGGTGCATTAGAATGGACAGATTTCAGCTTTGTTACAGGGAATGATGAATGAGAAGCACCAAAGGACTTTGATCATTGTCATTAAAGTAAAATAATCAATATTTTTTATTTGACTGAGAAAG